AAATTGCTCCCGTGCATGACACCGCACTGACATTCCGTGCCAGCAGGGCGAGTTTTTAGCTTTTTCTCTCGAAAACGAAATTAATTGTATTAGGCAAGTGAACATTTTCGAGCTAATAAAAACCGACGAAAAGAAAAGCCATAAACGAGTTCCAGGAGCTGATGAATTGTTAACTAAAGAAACGCAAAAACAGCACAAGTGGGAAATGGTTAATTTTCTAATTTAGTACTTAAGTTGTTGGCGGACCGGCCATGAATTTCAAATAAGAAAAGAAGTATTACTTTACAAATTGTTGCCTCGACGTGTTTCAAATTCTTTCATTTTTCAAGTAAAAAGTGTTTTATGAGCAAAGAGTTTTTAATTACTACTTTTATACAGTAGAGTATCACTAAAACTCCTCTTATCTAAACTACTATACTTACTATACCTAGTAGAAACTATGATATTGGAACGATAACATAAGAATAAATTTTAGAATGTTGATTTTCTACCTAAAGGTGCTTAATGTCAGCTACAATTACCTGAATAAACCTACTGCTCCTAAACAATTACCAAAGACCATTTCGCCCGATGCGTTTCCGTTGAATCCCGCAGGACCGTCGTCAATGTCCCCTTTTACCTGTCAAGAAATTTTGTCTTTCCTGATTGTTTCGGTCCAAAAGTTTCCAAAAGTGTCTTTTATTTTAAAGGACGGCGAATCCGAAGAGTTACTTTCGGGTGCAGAGTTCGGATATATTGTTTAAATTTGTTTCGAAATACTCTCGTCGTGGAAGTTTCTTATTTGGGATTTTTGCTATAGTTTCGAGAACGTGGAGATAGGATAAACAAATAAAACCTAACTTTAACCAATAAATAAAAACATCCCTAAGTAAAGTTTAATTGAAAAACCTTCCACGATTTCCAACCATTCTTGGACAAAATTTAACACGAAATCCATTAAATATTAACGATTTAATTAAATCAAGTCAGTTGCACTGTAATTGCACGTCACCAGAAAATTGGTAAAACCAAAAGAACATCAGGCTCTAAAGGTTACTCAAACATGCCAAATTAATTTCGGAAGCCGAAAAACCACTAACGTGCCCCCTTTTTTTCTCGTAACAAACAAAATTTACTGCCACTTAACGACGAATTAAAAAAAACTTATCACCTCGAAGAGGGTGCCAAGCAAAAAATTAATTTTCAAGAGAGTGTCTTAAATTCACCTTTTTAGTGACAGTTAAACTGGTATAGCAGAGTCGGCAAGGTAATTAAAAAAGTTGTTTTGTGGCTCCTTTGGGACGTGTAAAACGACAAGGGGAAAGAAAAATATAACTTTTTTACAAATACCTAGACTCCTTTGTTCTAATATCGAGCAAACTCCCCCTTGTTGTATAGCCTGTATTGCATAGACATGTAAACACTAATGCAACTTCTCTAAGCCTTTGTCTTAAATAGATCCCCTCGGTATTGTTGCGACGTTGTTCGGATAATTACGATTTGAAATTGAAATTAGATTGTTGATTGCTTCTGGCGCGGGTGATGAGGATCCTATTTGGTGGCTTAGTACAATATATACGTGAGCTTAAGGATGTTGAAAATATACTTAAATGTATTGTATTCGTGATTTGCTGATATTTCAGACGCCACCGCATTATTTTTTCATTTTTGATTTTAGAATTACTTAGTGAATTAAACATAGAAGCGACCGATTTCTGGTGCTGGAGCTTAAAGTAAAGTCCGATCAGAAAATGTCTCTATTTACGAAGTGCTTCCACTATAGCATGAGCTTCTTTTTCTACGGAAGACTGTCGCTGTTCCGATTTCGTCAATGTTCTAGAGAAAAACGCCACTGGTTTTCCAGACTGTATAAGTTGAGCAGCAATACATATTCAGTTTCAACAGTAAAAGTGGCTTCATCTTCAATGGAAATTTGGAAATACAACAGCGTTTTCTATATCAGTCTTCAACTGTTCAAATGCAGCAGCTTCACAAGCAGACAATGGAAACTTTTATTTCGAATCAGTGGATGTATTTTCTCAGAAAACTTATGAATAAATTTGGAATATTGGGCAAACATGCCTTGAACTCTCCCGAGCGAAGCAGTATTAGTAGGTAGTGGCAACTAAATCAGTGGTTTAAGTCTGTCTATATCTGGTTTGATTGATTTTCGTTCTATTGTATGCCCTAGTATATTAATTTCAGTTGCATTTCTCTTTGTTAAGCGTCAGATTATATTTCTTAACAACTTCTGAAAATCGTTTAAGATTTGTATCATGGTGCTCTTTATTTTTACCACAAATGGTTACGTCGTCAAGAAATGCATATGTTTCTTCTAAATGTTCTTGTTTGATAATGTTTCATTTCAATTCATATTTCTCTGAAAAAAAGCAACGCCATTAGTCACTCCAAAAGGAATTCGAGTGAATTGGTATAGATTTCCACATGCTTCAAAGGCAGTGTATATACGTTCATGCTCTAGAATTGGTATCTGGTGATATGTACTATGAAGATCTATCAAAATGAAATATTCATACTGAGAAATTTGGTTGACCATATCTTCAATCCTGGGTAACGGGTATGCATCCAAATGTGTAGGTATATCTAGTTATGGTCAATGAGTAGTCTATAACCATTCGCTTTTTATGATTTTCATTACTGGTCACTAGCACCTGGGCTCTCCACGGGGAATTGCTTGGCTCGATTATTTTCTCTTCTAAAAGTCGTTGCACTTCAGCTTCAATGAATTTTAAATCAATTGTGGGGTATTTGCGAGATTTAATTGCAATAGGCTTACAATTTTCTGCCAAATGTTCAAATAATGGACATGGTTCTACCTTAGCGATACTCAAATTACATATGGAGATCGGTGGTTTGCTTCCCCCGAAACTGAATTCTTGAACAGAAAGGTGTAAGATAAGATTCGGAATGTTGCTGATCCATTTCAAGTGCTCTAGCATTATCAAATGCTTGTGTTAAGCGCAAAGTACAATGTTCCAAGAGCCTCTGTCATATATAAGACGAAGTAAGACCAGTTATGAAAGTATCTCTGAGTTAATTTTCCCTATTTTGATCTGCATTGACTGCTTTGAAATTGCAGTCTTGGCTCATGAGCTTCAGGGCTTGTAAATATTGATCTATAGACTCACTAACTTGTTTTCTTGACGATAATCAGTGTCTGGCAAATATCTCATTCTTTGGCTTGACATATATGTTTTTCAAAATATTAATCGCATCTTCATAAATGACGCATTCATTTATATATTCAAAAATAGTAGGACTAACGTAATTGATTAGCAGATTAAGTTTATCTTTATCTTCTTCCACTTTAGCAGCTTCCAAAAAATTCTTAAAAGTTCGATTCCAATGAGTCCATTGATGAGCGGCATTGCTGGAGTTGATGTCTATATCCAATCTTTCTGGTTTGAGTAATTTATCTATTCAGTATTGAGTTTATTAAATTGAAGTAAAAAAAAACCTCTAGAATACAGGCTACAAGTAAAGGTCATTCTCTAGAACCCTCCCATAAATCTTAAACGTTTTAGTATTAAAAGGCTGAAAGATTTTTAAAAAGTGATACAGTTCGATAGCTTAAAAAAATCTGCATCTACTGGAGACATTAACTGACGAGTAAGTCCAAGTATAAGTAACGAAAAGTAGATTTGTTTATTATTTTTGAAATCTGTACCGGCAAAAAAAGTACGACCAGTACTTTGCCGATAAGAGTTTACCAACAGTAGGCATTTGATATAGCGTTTCGACCGGAAAACAAATAGTTTTTAAAGTAAATGGCTGGAGAAGGCAAAATAACAAATGAACAAATATTCAAGTTATTACAACAAACGAGTAATGATGTGACAGTTATAAAAGAAGATGTTGCAGAATACAAAAGGGAAATCGACAATTTAAAACAGCAAGTAGAAATTTTGGAAACGGAAAATTATGAATTAAAACAAAAATTTTCGTCTCAGGAAATTTTGCTGAAAAGGAAAAACATTTTAATTTTTGGAATTCCAGAAACTGATACTAGATCGTTGGAAGAAACTTTACTTGACTTCCTGAACAATAAACTTCTCGTTCAAATCAACAACCTGGACTTGGATGTTTTCTATAGAATTGGTCAACGGAAAAATGGAGAAAAAAGGCCAATTATGGTCAAATTTGTAAGGGAAATATCTGTTGGAGAAATATTCAGAAACGTTAAAAATCTGAAAGGAAGCGGAATAAGCATCTCGAAAGATCTATCAGAAGAAAAAAGAGCCGAAAACAAGGTCCTCTATAACTTTTTCAAAATTGCAAAGGCTAAACAATTTCCAGCGAAAATTTCCAAATCAAAGCTCATTGTAGGAAAGGATGAGTATACAGTGGAGACTTTAAGAAACATGAACGAAGAAGCATTCTTGGAGCCACTTGTAGATATAGAGTCACTTTTCCCTAACACAAGTGCCCCAGCTACACCTACAGTAGAGAAAGTTGGTTTGGATAGCTCAATTGAAAATTCTGCATTCGATTCGCCAGAAAAAGAAGAGAAAAAGGTCGAGGAGGTCAAAGAAGTATCAGAAGAAAAGAAAAAAGTGAAGCCAATTAAAAATCACGTAGCTAGTCATCTTCAGTCAACTCCAACCAGCAGAACTACCAGATCAGGTTCTACCAGTGGCAACGTAAACCAAAGAGTACCACCGAAAAAGAATAACATCACGAAAGTTACCAAAAACTAAAGAAATTGATATACCTGCAAGGGAAGAAAAGGGGAAAAATAATAGTAAAGGGGAAAATAAAAAATAGAAATCTTTGTAGTAAATTGTAGTCTGTAATTTATATGTCAGTCTTATATCGTTTTTGATCATATATCAGTGATCTTTATTACTATACAGAGCATATAACTAACCATAGAAATGATATTTTAAAAGTTTCTAAATATAAAACAGCCGATAAGGTTCATTCGGATACTGTGGAACTTTCAATTAGCATATTGGTAATGTTCAAGTTGACAGTTTAAGGTGTGTATCTTGATAATGATATTACCATCCAAGTATTTGCCAAGCCTTCGCGGAATTCTTGATTGTAAGGCCCGCAGTAGGATAAAAATCGCTGTGGAAAAAGGCCATCGCTTTGGTCCAAGACAACAAACTTCCACAAACTCTTTTGGCTGTGTACATGTGGTAGTCTTCCATTTCAAAATAGAGCGTCAGTAGTTCAACCGTTTCGTTGTTTAGGATGTCCTTAGGGTAATTTTGAAGCTGGACTGTAAATGTGGAAGCCATCATTTTCAAGGATTCCGCCTATGAAAGTTTTGGACATGGAGCTACGGCAACTACAATCACTTAGAGTAGTTTTTTTTTTGGAAAACGCAATCCATCATGCTCATTATAAGATTCGGTGGGCGACCTAGTTTACGTACAAACAGTAACTATTATGGGCGGGTTTGATGATGTTCCAAGCAGCTTCTGCTTCTTCCAGAGCAGGATTGGCGACTTCAAGTTTTTGTTCGGCTCTGGTTTTTTCATCTGCAATCGACGACACTTGGTTTTTAACGATTACCGCTTGCATCGCTCTTTAATTTAAATCTGAAACGTTCTGATTCAACTTGGTGCATCAGACTGCCAACTAACTGCACTGCATTTAACTTTATAGTCAGCTGGTTTAACTGATAGATTTATTCAAATAGCTACGATTGAAGAAAATCTCTCTTTCTTTCTTGGTTCTCTCATTGGCCTTTGCTATATCTATATCAGATATATACCAACTTTATATTCCCATCAATTGTATTTTGATTGTATGCAACCAAAAACTTCACACAAAAACAATCCGCTAATCGTTAAATAATTTCACTCGGCCTTCGATTGAAGTTTTCAATTTCGAAACTCCTGGAAAAGAAAAAAACAACGACTTACCTTTTCCGGAGCTTCATTTGTTTCCCAGACAGATCCGGAGAGAGGTAAGATTTGTGTGCCAGTCAAGTGTGCTGACGGGAGGGTCGAACTGCTGAATAATCTAAATCGGCTTACATACTTGATGAACGCCTAAACGGGCCGGTTAAACTTCACGGTCTTGTCCATTGGTTTTAGCCGCTTGATTATGATTACGTCAGATATAATTATCATTATTTGATAACAATGTTTTTTTTACGATTCTTTGAATTGTCTAAACATTCAAGTACGTAGTCCTCCTTCATCGACGCCTCAATGTTTTCAATAAATATTCTTATTATTATTACTTATTGATGTTCGAAGAAAAATATAGCAAAGTTTTCGCTGTGGAAGTTTGTAAAATAAAACTCGTAAAGTGCAAACAGACTTGCCCGGTCAAAACACATCATAAAAGGGAAAAATTTCGCTTAGAAATCAAACGGAGCGTAAAGAAAAACACAATAGAGACTCTATTCATGTAACTCCGGCAGTCGTAATCAGCCCAGAGTTCATATTTGTATATAATTTGTTCATATAAAAGGGCCCTCCCCACGGTATCGCTTTGCCGGGTGACAGAAGGGATGCGGGAAAACTCGTGCAACCAAGACTCTGCTACACATGTACAGTTACAATAATAACTTCTGAAGTTTCCGTCTGTTTGTACAACCATATGTATATCGTACGCATGAATACTTTTAAAAGGGTCACTTATCTTTACATTCCGAGAGTTACGCTCCATTCACTACCCCTTCAACCTGATGCTGAAAGTTCACAATACCAGTGTCGGAGTAAAATTGAATTTATTCGTTTTCTACATTGTTTTCTAGGAGCACACCTAGTTCAATCAATAAGGAGCTTCGAAATACTTTCTATCTATAAGCGTTTGGTTATGACGTTTTTACATAACCATTTTTCTGGTATTTCAATTATGTCATTAGACTCATAACACAACTAGTGGTGTTATGGACTAGTTTATGAATGAATCTATAACAGAAGTATTTTTGGTAATTTGACAAATGTCAAACTTAAACCTGTAAAGGTAAAATGAAGGTAGACAACGACTAATAAACGACAATGATTGAAAAACATTCTTATTATTTGCTTTGTAGATAAAACGTTGTACATCACATGGGCGTTTAGTTTAAACATGACTACAAAAATCGTGTAATTAGAACGACTCGGTCTACGACCTCGTCGTTCTAATCTTTTACACTCGTTATTCTAATCATATTAATAAACGCACTTCTAATGTGAATAACTATTATAGGGAACATTTGTCATGAATAGGTTATTATTATTATACAGGGTATACCATTTAAAATGAAACAGGCATAATACCTATCTGACATCAGATAGGTATTATGCCTGTTTCAATTTTTTTTTTTTTAATCGATCGTACACGTATTTGATTGTGAGAGTGTTTGAACCATTTTCAGCACTTACTTAACCCTTTAGGGGGGCGGGACCAGCCCTTACCATTCCAAATGGAACAAGGGGTCGTGATACCTGGTTTCAAAAGAGCATTTAATTTTCTTTCTAATGAACATCAAATGAAAGAGAATTGAACGCTTTTTTAAAAGAGGTATCACTCGAACCCTTGTTCCATTTGAAATAGTGAGGGTTGGTTCCACCCCGCCTAGAGGGTTAAAGTGGCAGTGCTAAAAATAGTTGCAGAAAACATTTGAAAATAAAATTACGAGTACGTGCGAATTATTAAAAAATAAACGTGGCATCATATTCAGCCTGTTTCATTTCAAATGGTACACCCTGTATATGTATTGATTGTCCTTTCGTCATTGGTCCTTTCTATGAAGGTGACTACTCTGTTGTATGACATTGAATGTCAAGTACGCGTTTTGTCAGGTAATCTGTGGTTTTGACAGGCCCTGCGATCTATCATTGCCAGTTATAAACCACATAATAGCTCTTTTCCGTTTTTCTAGATGTCGCTAACAACCACAGAATTGTCAAAATTGGAAAATACCAGCACATTAAGAACACGTCCGATGTCGATAACTGACATGTCAACATATGACAATATGCCAAAATATTCATTTGATCATAACTAATAATTCATAATGTTTTTTGTTCGCCGGTCTTGCATTTCATTTTTCTTTGTGTTGTCAAGTGTTCTTAAGTGATTTCAAAGTTGTTTTGTGTGTTTCAAGAAGAACTTCAAAGTTCATAGATTGGAAGGTCTATTTTTATCTTTGTTGACTAGATAAATGACAGGTTCAAATAAACATCAATCAGAACTTTGAATAAATATGTTAAGGATCCCTTAACCATCGATAAAGAAACTGTCTTTTGATCTAATTAACAAATTATCAATTAATTTAAGCAAACATTAATGCCCCAAAGTCTAGAATAAACGAATTTGAACAGACCGACAGTAATGCGAACAGGGCGCCATCTATCATAAAAAGTCCTATGTAAAGTAGGTGTCTGTAGCATCGATGCAAAACCAGTAAATAGTGATTTTCCGATGTGGTAGATGGCGCTGGCTTGGCTCAATTTTGTTGACAACAAAATTTACACTGAGATTCCATTCTCGTCAGTTTATATAGTATTTATCTCTGGGTTTTGATAAACCTAGTAATTAATTTGAATCAAAGCTATATTTAATTTGCATATCATGTTTATCTAGCATCGAAAACATGACAACATTGCAAATCATATGTTAACATTTTGAGGAGTTGGTCATATAGTTGAGTCAAAAGAATCCGGAACAGGGAGTGCTAGGAGCCAACGAGAAGGCCAAACGTCATAAAATCTCCCAAAAAAAAGATTCCTTACTTTTAAATTATAAGCATATTGTGACATCACGAGTTTCCTGAACTTGAAACTGAACCCATAAATCAGGCACCGGAAAGACATTAAAAGCAAAGTAATTAAATCGTCGGGACCATGTGACAGATTCATCTAACATTGTTTTGGCCGTCACGAGTTTTGGCATGGCATCCTTTGATAGATGCGGCCTCACTTTTATGTTGGCCCCAATAATCAAGGAAATTGCGATATCGCCTATTGAACAAATGATAAAATTTCTTAGAAATAGCGGGAGAAGAATTTGGGTCAACTTATCGGAATCACGCGAATAGAGGAAATGAAATTATTTAAGCAAATTACAATCAAGTAGAGAGACAGTCTATAGTCTACAGTTGACAGTCATCCAAGATTAAGGGTAAACAATACAGTGGTGAAAATTTGAAAATGTAAAGAAATCACGAAAAATATTATCAGTAGCTCTTCTCACAGCAAAAAAATTTTGAATTTTTCCTCTACGTCACTGTTCCCGTCAAGCGATTTCTTCCGTCGTCGAAAATTGAACAATACGGAGGGATCAAAGTCGCGCGTTATGAAAGCAAATTTGCCAGGGGCTCTTTAATGGTAGTCGCTATACATACACGCTGCGTCCGTGGAGACTTGCCTTAATGTGTATTTGTATGGATTATAAGCCTTTAAAAAATACCATTAAAGTTACGTTGCACGGAGGGGGACCTTTTCACTCTTTTGTCTCTTTTAAGTATATTTTTTGGTCAGGTGGGATCGGTGATGGTTTTTGCCTATAGAACATGCGCAATTATGATAGAGGAATGTTAGCGAAGTCAGTAGGTTTGGAAATAGGGCTTAAAAATAAATGTTGATCTAGTCAGTACACTAAATGAGGCCTCCATTCAGGTGGAATAATCTTTTACAAAAGTAGCGTTATTTGAAGAGAGGAATCTTGGCTGATTTCGGAGAATGGAAGGATGAGATTCAATTTGAATAGAGAAATATTAGCGTAGAGCAACATGAGAAACTTCTAACAAATACCCAAAACTATGTTGAAATCCTTGACAAAGACGTGCCAATATTGAAAGTTCAAGCCTTACCTAAAGCAGAAGAAAATATTATTGTTACAGGATCGGGTGCTGATTTTGATGAAAATTCAAGCCTAAAAAATATCTGGTGTGACGTTGAAACTGAAAAGTTTCACTACGGCTTACCAGAGCGAACAGCATTCCTGCCAACATCTTACCTCAAAACCCAACCACAACCTCCTGCAGAAACTGTTACAGAAGTATTCGATTCTGAATTGATCACAGAAGATACTAAAGAGCATAGTAAAAGTGAATAGGTCCCTGTTCTAGACTCCGTCGAAGACTAAACATCAACAAATGCCAGTAATAAAATTGTTTGAAAAGCATTTTTAACCAATTTACACGCCCGTGTCAACAGAGAAATGATTGATAATGCTGCCATAGACTTCCTTGTTACTTTAAACATCAAACATAATCGCAGAAAGCTTGTCAAAAGTCTTTTCAGCGTCAACAGAACGAGACTGGACCTATTGCTGTTTAATGCACGTTTCGTTGCATACTGCAACCAGCCCTGAAGTTGGCAATGTACTGTGTCAACTGCTAAGACTAGATTTCAAATATCATGTGAAGAAAAAAGATCAAATTAATATTGAATCCAAAGTTAAAGTTGTGAGTGTTGCTGCATGATTTCTCCTGTCATAATATCGAAATGGCTAGTAACTTATTGCAAGTTTGTGGACGGTTTTTGTATTGCAATGCTGATTTGTATCAAAGAACCAAAGTCTATATTTAGAGCAGATGATGAGGGAAAAAACTGTAATGACTTTAGATTCCAGATATGTAACTCAAATAAAAAATGCTTACTATTACGTTAATCCTCCAGAATTGGTTACAGTGGCCCAAAAAGAACGTCCAATAATGCACCAGTTTATACGCAAACTCTCATATCAAGAACTGCAAAAGAACAACACAGACAAAATAATGTGTTTAATAAGCAAGCTTGATTGGACTAATAAAGATATTTCTATTTATACTACAAAATGCCTTACAGGTGCACACAATATGAAATATTTCAATATAAGATGCCTAGCTAGTCTTCTATCAGGCCTTGTAGGTTACCAAGAAGAAATCGGTACCAAAGTTGTTGATGGTGTTTTTGAAAACATCAGATTAGGCATGGAAGTTAACTCACCAAAATTCAATCAAAGAAGAATGGCACAAATTAAATATTTAGGGGAATTGTACAATTACAGAATGGTTGAAAGCGCTAATGTGTTTAAGGCTCTATACTCCTGAATTTCTTATGGAGTTTCAATAGATCCTAATGAATCATCAATGTTAGACCGTCAAAATCATCTATTCAAAATTCGCCTGGCATGTGTATTACTTGAAACATGGAGAACATATTTCAGCAGTGGCAGCAGCAAAAACAAATTGGACTATTATTTAGTGTTTCTACAGATGTATTATTGGCACAAAAAGGAAACTTGGAAAGAAGCATTTCCTCCGTTTTTAGAACACATTTTCAAATAAGCCTTATCAATTTTAAGGCCCAAATTTAAGCTTTGTCAAAACTATGAAAAAGCTAAACTAGAAGTTAATAACATAAGGATATCTTTAGGTATAGAAAATCTTATTTAAAAAAAAAAAAAAAAGATATTGCAGAAGGTTTGGATACTATTGCTGAAACTGATACTGAAGATTGTGCAGATGGCAAGGAGCTGGCTTAGTGATAGATGATACAGCAACTGAAGATGAAACTGCAGATCCGCAATCCGATTTTGATAATGAAGTTAAAACTAGTGAAGCAGAAGCGGAATAAGTTTCTGAGTCTTTAGCCATACCTCAAGGTCCTAAAAAATTCGATTGACGTAGTCAGTAGATGTCAAGATAAGGCTTAAAATTATAACATCAATTAAAATTTCTGCCTTTTAGGCCAAGCGCATTTTGGCACCTGGTACCCTGTAGGAAAACTTAAATCAGATAATTTTCCAGAACATCTCTTATTCGATTAGGTGGAATTGATGATGACTTCTAAGGCTCAACATTAAGTCGTTTATATGCAACAATATTAAAATTCTATTAAAACTTCTCCGGTAAAACGTCGTAATCACCCTCCAACTAAATTCACTCAACTAATTTCGCGTAGCCTAGCGTCGCAGGATCAAATTTATGACGTGTAAAACTGAAATCCGCAGGTAAGCGGCTCGTAGCATTTCCTGCTTCGGTTATGGTCCGACCGACCGTTCGTTCGTTGTCCGTCCGACCGGGATTTATTTGCAGCAGGCTCGGGCCAACAGGAATTATTCCCGCTGAATGCAAATAAGCAATTTCGTACCGAATCTGCTATTCATACAGTTAATCATCGTCCAGTTGGCTGATTATCATCGTAAATTACTCTCTGTCCCGCTTTGCAGCTTGTCAGCAGGAAATTTATTATGTTAGTCAAGGTTTCGGGCTCTACACAGTTTTACCGGTAGATTAATTTCATCCTGCACCGAGCCGGAAGGGTTGGTCGTTTTTGTTTTCAACGAAGTGACCACAAAATTACTAAATCTATGCGAATATGCATAAACGAGAATAGTGTCTAATGTTTTATTTCGGAGAGGAATCAATGATTTTCAAAAACCTTTCATCTTTACTACAAATATTAATAATAATTATCATCCAATTCTCAAAAAAAAAAACAGACCACCGTACACTCGTGTGTTGTGAAACTTTTATAGTATTATGTCAAGATACACAATAATTCAAATAACATCTTTGATGTGATAAACCCAGATATTTTCCAAGTCCTTATTTTTTTCTTCCAATAATCACAGTTGACATATAAAAATTGAAAATCGCGTGATAGCGGCTATATTTCCACGAATCCAACCTTTTACTTTGTAGGCAGCCATCAGGCGAGCCATATGGGCTTTAAATGTTACGGTGTACTTATATATAGAAAAAAAAATGTTCAAATCATATCAAAGCATGCAATTGGGGGAAAATAAAATCAATAAAAAATCAAATTAAAAAGGCCGACGCACTCAAAGAAGGCAATTAATCAAGTTATTAAGGTTTCACGAGGATGAACCACAATTTACCGAAAATAAAATCATAATCTTATTGATCTTCTTCCGGCCTCCGTTCGTCGGTCAGCGTCTTTTTTCTGCAATAAAGGATCCGCACGGACTTTCCGGGGCCCAACTTCCTGACCGGAAGCGCAGGTGTCTCCCTCTTCGGGGCAAACACCCAATAGAGGAAAAAATGGGGCTGATTTATGCATTTACCATAATTTCGTGTACGGAGACTTTAAGCAAATAATGGAGGGTCTTTAGGAGACACAGTGAAGTTCGTCTAGAATGATCAACTTTTAGGAATTGGTTATTTTTTCCTCCTTCCTTTATTTATTCCAATAGTCCTCAAGCTTCCCAGAATTCTCCTGAAATCCTCCTTCTCATTTTCTATAATTTCCATTTGTATGCTGCTTTTGGAAATTGAATCTTTCTAGTTGGTTTTCTTCTAAGTCAAATCCAGTTATATTCCATTGATAGGAAATTAAAAATTTCGACTTTTATGTTTTCATAGATATTTTCTTGGCTTGCCTGTATCTAAAAACACCATACCGACACTAAAAAAATAAAAAAGGGTTTCAGTCTCAACCCCCCGAATCCTGATTAATTTTTAATAAGGTTAGATCAGATGTTATGTTTAAAATTAGTGTAAATCAAAGGGCAAAACCCTCATCCCCGGAGAGTTATGTCCGTGCCCCCACTCCCCCCAGGGGGCACTAGGGTGGATCCATTATCAAATTACCGCCCTCCGCCCCTTGTGTTCAACGTTAATCTGTTTTCAATGAAGTTCGAACGAGAAGGGAATGCATTATGATACTCTCTTTCCACGCGACATTTGCGGGAGGGTGAAATTTCGTTACCGGAGTAGTAAAACTGATACAAATGGACAATTTTTTTCTTGTGTATGAAATTTATTTCTCTCTAAAGTTTGAAAGGGAGGGGTTTGAATCCAACATTTTAAAATCCTCTTTAAAAAGCGCTTTTCTTTTACCGAAAGCTCCAAATGTTAAGCTTTTAAAAGCCGAACGGACATGTACAGTCAAGTTTAGAAAAACTTGGCTTTAAGGTACTGTGCATATGGAAATAATGGTTAAATAAATAGAAGAAAGAATAAAAACATCAACCCTTATACTTATAGGCTATCAATTACATACAAAAACAAATAAAACAGTAATTGCCACGTTCCAAAACGCAAAACGTATTAATCAACTTCTTAAAAAAAACAACACAGTGTCAAACATCGGCAGGGTAATTAATTAGTGCGTATTGTATTTAAACAAGACGTATAATTGGTGTAAGTAGTACACAGACGGGAAATAAATAAATAAAACTTTTCCTCTTTTATATACTCGTTCGACAATATAAATCGAAGTAGGAAATTCACCTAATTTTCCCCAAGTTGCTCATCAACATTTCACGAAAGCCCTCACGGAGCCGAACCAATAAAAACTTCCCGTTTATTAACTCTTAACGCACCTGTCAAAACTACAAGTGGTGTGTGTGTTTGTTTATAGGTTAATGCCTTTTTTGTTCTTGACAGTGCAATTAAGGCAAATTTTCCGGTTGTAATGCGGTTGGAACGAGTCATTAGCGTACTTTGGATTGGGGTTAAAAAAAGGAAGGAATCATCACTGACTCATCAAGACAATAACGAGTCTCATGCATGAAAGAACAAATCAATATGAAAGTTATTTGAACTCACTCATGGAAGAAAAAATTTGACTGAAAAAAAAAACAAAGTTGGCTCATCCCGACTCATCAATGTAAGTGAACTCAGAACGAAGAAAAGAAGCTACTCATGGAAAGAGAACAAATTATATACGGTGACAGGTGTGGTCAAATCAAAACCCACTCCAAATAGACGAAACCAGAGCTGAGTTCAGACTCAATCATGAAACAGCAAATACCCCATGGGAGTCAACTTCGAAAGAAAATAGATCACTGATGAGATTGAGTGAAGAAGAGTTTTGGGAAAACCGTGATAAACAAGACCTAGGTACATTGAAAGCCAATGCTGACACCTTATGAGTTTAAACTCAATCGAGAAAACAACGGAATATAACATACCCCTACATCTGGAGTTTGTGGACTACCAGAAAGCCTTTGACAGCGTTGAAACCTGGTCTTTTCTAGCGGCAATGGAGGACGCAAGAATCGATTCGAGATACTCTACCCTTATTAAGAATATCTTCACTTAGCATCTCGTCGGCGACAACGATAGCTTGTTTTATTTAGTGCTCTTTCTTAATGTAAAATCGTGCCGGTTTTTCTTATCGGAAAATTGTAAGATTTGTATCATAGTGTGTGGTTTGGAGCCCTCTGCCCAATTCTGTAATTATTTTGGCGAAGAAATTGTTCGTTTGGCAGTGGTTTTGAATCAATAAATAGACAATATCACAATAGCAGTACAATAGACATTCCATTCTTTGTTCTCTTACTTGTGTTTTTTTTTTTTTTTGATAAACAGCACAACTGTTCATTGGATGTCAATAATAAAATTCCAAAAGGATAACGCACACCTTACATGGGATTTTTGGGCTTTATGAATTTTGCCAACAACCTCTAAATGGGACGAAATCATGTAGGTATTACGGTCTTCGAGATATGAGTATTGAAAGATGAACTTTTTTGCGACTTTTTGTCTAGAGAGTATACGAAATGCTGGTGTTCATCAGTCAAAATATTGACAGGTTCACATATTTTACGCCACTAAGGGCGGGTATTATAAAACTGCTTTTGATAGTTAACTTGAAGTTAACTTTTTGAATTACATGTAATTCCAGGAGTTAACTTTAAGTTAACTCTCAAAAAAGTTTTATAATACCCGCCCTAACAAATGTTAACATACGCTTAGGCCGGGACCGCGCTAGTACCAACATTGGTCCCAGTGTGGTCCCGGCCTTAGTCGATGTTTACATTCATTTGTTAGTGACGAAAAATATGTTAGGTGTGCGTTATTTTTTAAGGAACACAAAACCGTTGATTGAATGTTGGATTGGATAGCCAAAATTTGTTACTGAATATTCCTGAAAAAACTTACTTTTGCCATTTTTGGATTTGAAGATGGAATGTGACTATGTGACGTGTGTGAAAAGAAAAAAAGTACAGGTTTAAAGATATTTTTATGTGATGGATGACACGAAAGAAATTGCATTGAGTGTGATGACCATATATCATCTGAAATAAAGGAGCTGCTACTGAAGGGAGAAAGAGCTATAAGAATAAGAATAAGAATAATTTATTCAATAAATACTATTCTACAATTTTATTTTATTTTATTTTATTTTTTTTCTACTTAATAAAAAATGAATAAATTAAAATGCCGGCTAAAGTTTATTTAAATAAAGCTTGTGCGGCAATATGCTTAGATTTTTAGTTTACAGAACATTATTTTTGGTTAACTGTTCAGTTATTTAACAATTCTTCAATTAAATCTAGATTAATTGTGGGAACAACAAAAATTATTTTTTCCACCAAAGCGACTAAAATATTACACAATCCTAGGGTTGTTCTTTAATGGCCGTTTCCACCGACAATTTTAAGGGAGGCTTAACGATAAGTATTCCTTAAAGTGACATTTTTACATGTAGACATGTCATTTTAAGTTATACTTATCGTTAAGCCTCCTTTAAAATTGTCGGTGGAAACAGCCATAAGTCAACCAATGCATGAGTTTCGTTTCTAGGTCTTTGGATAATCCATTCCCGTACTTTATATCGAAATAGTTTAAGTGACGTTATTGTTTTTAAATTGGGGGGGATTTTGTTGAAAGTTCTTGGACCTAAGAAGTAAAAACTTCTTTGGGTGTGTGTCAAGTCTATTTTGGGGATTTTAAATGTTAAGTATTGATTTTGCCTAGTTAAATATTTGTGTTCTACTTTACTTTCGCTCTTGTACACGGAAAACTGCTTTGTTATTATGGTATGACAGTAAAGTTGTCGAGCATCCAAGACTCCAGATTCCTCATACAAAAGTTCAGTTGGGTAAAGATATTTTTTTCCAAAAATTATTTTCAAGACCCATTTCTGAGCCTTATCTAACTTATCCAGGTAGTTATTCGTGACTCCACCCCAAGCAACAATTCCATATGTAATGTGGCTCTGCACCAGAGCAAAGTAGACAGTTTTCAAGTGACTTACATCTAGGATTTCCTTTAGTTTTCGGAATTTACCCAATAAGGATCGTATTTTTTTTGTTATGTAGTCTGCGTGCTTATCCCACTTTAAAAGCTGGTCCACATATATACCAAGATATTTAACATGCGAAACTCTCCCAATAATCACATCTTCGCATACACAAGAAGTGGTTATAGCGAGATGCTGGTATACTGAGGAAGCTTCGATAACTTCAATAACACAAAATTGGTCTTTGAAGAATTGACCGTTAAAAATTTACTTTTAAAAAAATGAAAGATTTTGCTTAGCTCAGATTCAACTTTCGATTTCAAAGCGGTCCAGTCACTATCCTGAAATACAATAACGGTATCATCGGCAAAACATATTATATCTCCATCAATTTCAAGGTTAAAAAGACTGTTCAAGTATAAATTGAAGAAAAGAGGGCCCAAAACCGTGCCCTGTGGCAAACCGCACCCGATTTTCGATTTTTGACTAAGTATATTTATCACCAATTTGAACTGCTTGAGTGCGATTTGTGAAATAGTCTTTTAATTAGTTTGTGCGGAACGCCTCTAAAGCCACAGTCGTAAGCCACCCTTAGCATTTCAGAATGGTTAACGGTATCAAAGGCTTTTTTTAAATCGATGAAGACTGCAATGACCGGTTTTTTGTTATCTACTGCTTTATAAATATTTGTTGTTAGTTCTAACAGGGCATCTTCTGTGGACTTATTTTCCCTAAAACCGTATTGTTTTTCTGATAAAACTTTGTATTTTTTAAGAAAACTATCAAAACGTTGTCTTAATATTCTTTCTAGCAGTTTTGCTAAGCTGGTTATTAGAGAAATAGGTCTGTAGTTATTGATATCCCTTTTATCCCCGTTTTTAAATATTGGTTTTATCACAGACTCCTTAAAACCTGAAGGAAAAACTCCTTGTTTAAAGCAGTTGTCAAAAAGAAACACTACCGGATCCGCAATTTCATTTGGGAGTGTTTACCAAAATTTCATGACAAGGATCTATTTTTTCTGCCAAGTCTTTGCCTATATTTGTAAAAAAATTTGAGAAAAAGTTGGAGATTTCTTGACTATTTGTTGTTCGGGTTTCTGTATTAGATTTAATTTCCTCTATTACTTTTTTTGATTTTTGTTGGCTGATTTCTTTGACACATTCCCATATCTTTTTAGAGTTACCTTTGTTTGAGTTAATTTTTTTCTTAAAATAAAGCTTTTTCGATTTTTTTATTAGGTGATTTAGAATATTTCTGTGATTTTTATATCTATTTATGTTTTGTTGTGTCGGATTAGTCTTGGACAAGTTGTAAAGATTATGTTTATTCTGAATTGAGCGAAGCAATCCTTGGGTTATCCAAGGAGCTCTTTTAATTTTATGCGGCTGTATTGTGTGGAGTTTTGTGTTGTTTTGAATATGACGTTTAACCGTATTTACAAAAATATCCGCAGCCTTATCAGCATCTTTTAGCTGATATAAATGCTGCCAACTTTCGCCCTGGAGGTCCGATTTTAACTTATTTATGTTTAAAACCGAGTGTGTTTTGCATCTAGGTGGATCAAGTTTTTCCGATTCAAAAACAAGTTGAAATAGGGTTGGGTAGTGGTCGGATATGGGATTATGCAAGACAATTGATTTTATTTTATGTGATACGTTTTTCGTTTTGTAGAAAATGTGATCCAAGCACGTCTTTGATGAAGGTCTGGTGATAGTATTGATAGTAGAAATGAAAGGATAACGCACACCTAGCATGGGATTTTTGGGCTCTATGGATTTTGCCCATTTTTTGATATGTTGTAGAGGTTTTAATTCTGAACAACCTTTAAATGGGACGAAGTCTTGTTGGTATTACGGTCTTTGAGATATGAGCGTTGGAAGATGAATTTTTTTGCGACTTTTTGTGTGGAGAGTATACGAGATACTGATGCTACTGGTGTTTATCAGTCAAAATATTGACAGGTTCACATATTTTACGTCACTTAAAAATCAATGTCAACTTAGGTTAAGGGCACTGGGCTCAATGTTGGCGTCAGTGCGGTCTAGCATTAGGCTATTTTGAAATTTGTTAGTGACGTAAAATATGTCGACCTTTCAAAATTTTGAATGATAAACACCAGTTTTTCGTATACTCTCCACACAAAAAGTTGCAAAAAAGTTCATCTTTCAACGCTCATATCTTAAAGACCGTAATAGCTACAAGATTTCGTCCCATTTAAAGGTTGTTCCTCTACAACATATCAAAAAATGGGCAAAATCCATAGAGCCCAAAAATCCCATGTTAGATGTGCGTTATCCTTTGCTTCCTGCATAATATTTTGATAATTTAAGCTAATTTCAGTGTTTGAAAGAATATCAACATTTATGTCACCCACGAATATATGAAGATCTGGAGTCTTCGAGCAATTTTCAAAATACTCGTGTAATGCTTGTTGAAAGATCTCTACATTGGTTGACGGTAGCCTGTACAAAGCGGTGATTAAAACTGATTTATTTTGATGTTTTACTAAAAGCTCAATTGCATCTATTTCACCGATTTGCACTATACGAAAACTATAAGAATAACAGCTCTTTACATAGATAACAGTTCCATCATTTTGGTTTACTGTTCCATTGTTGTAAATTAAGTCATACCCATCAATATTAAGAAGTGTTACATCATCAATCATGCGAGTTTCTGTTAGAACAATACAGTCGAATGGAATAATAGAAGTACTCATCTGCAATAAAAGTTCATCCAAATGTTTATTTAAGCTGCATATGTTTGAATGAAAGACTTTAAAGTCGAGATTTTTTAGGTTGTAGAAAATATTTCGACATTCATTTGCTGATTTGGCGATTTCTGTTTTGATACTGTGCACTTCAAAATTTTGAATGTAAGGGTTAATTTTTTTTTTTTTTTTTAATTTTTTTAAATTTTTCTGTTATATCTATTCTAAGAATTAAATTTTTGCTTTTTATAACAAATATTATTCAAAAAATTGACCTTTATATAAATTTAAAAAGGAGTGCTAAACTAAAGACTATTTTTTGAAGCAGGCTTCTTAGGCAACTGTTGACTGCGACTTTGTTGACCTGGTAGTTCTTACCTTTGGCGTTTGTGTTATGGGAAGGTGATTTTTAACGGTTTTGGGTATAATTTTTTTCACCTTTTCATTCTGTTTTTTTTCTTCTTTCTTTGGATCCTTCTTTTTTATCTCCTCCACTTTTTCTGTTTGTACTTCTTGATTTTCTACCTCTAGGTCAAATATTTCCTCTTCTGAACTCTCGGAGTCCCTATGTGTAATAGTAGGGGTTGGTGGTGCACTTGTATTCAGGAAAAGTGTGTGTTTGTCCACGATAGGCTCCAGGAACATTATTTTGTCTATTGTCCTTAAGTTCTCGGCAGTGTATTCCTCGTTGTTCACGCAAAGTTTATTTTTAATTATTTTGGCAGAGAATTGTTTTTGTTTTGCAATTTTCATATACTCCTATAAGGTTTTACTTTCTGCTCTTTTTTCTGGTAGTAGATCTTTAGCCAAACTGATTCCAGTGCCTCTCAGTTTTGTTACATTTTTGAAGATTTCTCTAACAGTCACTTCCCTAGTAAATTTTATTAGGATTGGCCTAGCTTTATTAGTTTTTTTATTTTCGCAGATTCGATAGAAATTGTCCAAGTCATTCAAAGTTGCGTTTATTTCCAGTTTGTTGTTGAGAAGATCTAATACAACGTCTTGTAATACTTCATTTTCTGCTTCTACTATTTTAAAGGCTAAGATGTTTTTCTTTCTAATTAGTTCCTCATGGAATGAAAGTTGTTTCTTTAAGTTTGCGTTTTCAGATTCTACAGCTTCTACCCTGTGCTTCAATATCTCAACCTCTTCCTTAAAATTTGTCACGTCCTGTTTTATGTCTTGGACATCGTTGCTGGTCTGTTGAAGCAGCTCGAAAATTTGTTTATTTGTAACGCTATCCATTTAATTTTATACGGCTAAATTGTTTGTATAGTAGGCCCGTACCGCAAGACGCTTATCAGTTAGTACCAGTCGTACCGTACAGTTTTTGTTTTGATTTTACATATCGGTGTCCTTGATTTTGTCTTATATAGTGAAAAACTTAAACATATTTTCCACTTACATGTTTAATAATAACATCACTCGATAGTGTTTTCTCTCAGCTACACGTCTGTTAGACTTTTTTAATTATCTCTTTATTATTTCCGACTCAAAATTCCGAAGAGCTATATGTGGGAACAGTATTCGCCTAGTGCAATTGAAGGAACATCTATGCGATTCCTATGCAGAAAGTGTCTAAAGTTTGAGGTTTTTTGCATGATTTTTTTTATTTACTTATTGGAAAGAGGAGTCAAAATTAAGCTCAACTGTATTTTTTCCGATTTTTTCGGACTTGCAAAGGCTCTAAATTTTGATTTTGATTTGAAGTTCAAATTTCTTGATGATATCTCAGATGATATAGTCTTGATAAACACCAACATTCAAGAACTGAACAACATGGTAAATGAGCTAAAGGAACAATCCAAGGAAAAAATGAACCCAAACAAGACCAAAATAATGAGCAAAAATCAATGTAACATCACCATAGACAACGTTACCATAGAAAATGTAGTACCTATATTACATATACTTAGGACATAAAATTGAGCTAGGCAAAGAAAACCAAACGGCTGAAATCAAACGCAGGATCCATTTGGCATGGGTGGCATTCGGAAACATGAATTTAATTTTTAAAGATAAAAAGGTGCCCATGAAACTAAAGAGATAAGCCTACGACAGCTGTATTCTGCCGGTTCTCACCTACGGCTTAGAAACTATGGCAATAACTCGAAGAGCAGCTGAGCAACTGAGTGTCGCACAGATAGCCATGGAGAGAATAATGCTGGAAATCACCTAAGGGCCATATTCTCCGTAGTTCATAAAGCTTGGCTTAGTGGAAACGATAGGCTTTTTGTGTGACAAAGCCGAGCTTTTCTACTAAGCCAGGCTTTATGAACTACGGAGAATATGGCCCTTAAGGGATAAAATACGAAATGAACAGATACGTGATAGAACCAAAGTGACGGATGTTGTCAAAAGGGTAGCAAGTCAGAAGTGACAATGGATTGGACATGTGGCGAGACAGGACCCAGAAAACGGCACTCTGGAAATCAAGAGGAATAATAAGAAATGTGAGACGACCGAAAAAGAGATGAATAGACGATGTCAGAACGGTACCAGGGGGACAATGGATAAGATTAGCAAGAGATCGCGGGATATGGAAAAACCTGGAAGAGGCCTATATCCGACAATGGATGGACACGGGCTAACGAAGAAGAAGAAGTAGAAGACATTCAAAACAATACTTAAGGATGCTTTGGAAGTAAACTTCAGGAGGAGGGAAAAGGCTTGATGAAAGAGAGCAAGTTTCACTCTATTTTCATATAAATCCGTTACACTCATTAGAAAAACAGATGGTCTAGAGGAATTTTACCCTGAAGAAATATTCTCGAAAATTCATAGAATCCGCATTCAAACCCAATGGGCAAAAAGTTGTTAAGTCACAGAAGTCTACTTTACAAAAGCAATGAAGACAGAAGACAGCTAATCATAAATCTTATTCATCGAAAGCGATGCAAGTGTCAGTTGTCACTGAAGATTTTTCAATGCCCTGCTAAAGGAAAACTCTTTCAGAGTATTTTAATGCACAAATTAATTATAAATATTTACCTGAATAAATAGCAAGCATTTCGCAGCCTCGAACGTCACATAGAAATCTAATTAATTTTAGAACGCCGCGATCATAGAGACGTGTTCCAGTCAAAATCGTCTTTCGGCCTCCCGCAAATTTGAAGTTATTATTAGGGGGCGCAAGTATAATCTATAGGCCCCGTCGGAAGGGTTGTTTTAACCCTGCGTTATGATTGCCACCGTGAATATTTAATCGAGTAATTAATGCAAGAAATTACCTATTATGTGGATGATTCGAGTTGCTCTAATAATAATTGTGAAATACGAGGCGTGCGGTTAGGGAACGGTATTCGAAACCCTCATTTTTGAAGCGAATTTCTATATAAAATGCTTATTAATTTTAAATTTAAAAGGGGTAAATATGATTTTCAATAAGCCCTGACATTGATACGGCCCACAAACAAGCTTTCACGGCGCCCCTAAAAATATATAGAGATAATCTAAGATCGAGATTTTACGGTCGACATAAGCGAACCGGTGTATGATCATAGCTAAAGTTACTATACACTCCCTTATATAGGCGAAATCCCAGGGGATAAGGCATAGAGAGCATATCGAGGGGGCGCGGATGTTCATTTTTGGCATCTGTAATCGTTTTTGGATCAGTGTTATTCCTATTCCGAGCTTAGTAGCTTTACTAGATTAGATTACGCGGGATTGGGAGGAGTAAATGGATTTTTTTTGCGATCTTAAGTAACCCAATTTTATTTTAGACGTCAGGGGAAACTGGATTTGAGGATGAAAGGAAAAATACTTATCTTTTATAGTCTTTAATTAATTTAAGAACGGTATACGCAATATCTGTTTATAACGTTCATAAATCCAAACAGAACATAATCATACACCCTTTTATTACCCCCAATCGACAAGAAACCTTCATTTTCTCGAGCTTTTTCTTTAATTTCGGCAAGATTTTCGCGAATATGGCAAAAATAGGAACGAGCTCGCATTCGGCCCAGCCCCAAACTTGATTTCCCTGGAGTTTTTCTCCACAATACTGCCTCTCTTGGCTTGGATATAGAGCTAGGGCCACCTTTACAGGTTTTTCGTTCCGTTATCCAGCAGAACTACGTATTTGCAGTTTGCGCAAATGACTGTTTATATATTTCTATATAAGTCGAGTTTATAACAGGATCGATTCGTGCCTTAAAAATTATTATTTCACTCTACAAATAAACAGAATGTTTAGCTGCTATTCATGACGTTACATGATCCTGCACAATCCCTATTGTTTGCCTGCAAACCAGACAAATAATAACTAGCAACAACGGGGCGAATGTAAATACATCAACTGAGAGGGGATTTTGGTTCTGTGCACATAAACCTTATCCTGGGCGTGCACTCGTAGAGGTAAGCGGGTAAGCTTTAGGGGTTTAGAGCAGGTAATCGTAATCATGCTCTAATTACCGTTGTTGACGTTTCAAAAGATCTCTTTGTCCCGACCGCTCGACCTCGACTATAATATGGTACGAGACAAGAATGGCTACAATTTCGAATTGTTTATGTTAATATTGAACAAAGCGATTTAGGAGGAGAAATATATAATGAAAAAAAATAAATAGTCAAAATCTTCAAATTGGTCAAAATCGAAAGCGTACCGTAAACGAGAAGAAATAGCTGAGGGTTTTATTGCATCGATTGGGCTTCGTACGTTTACATCATAGATACAAATTAGCTTAAGGCGATCCTGCTTGGTTTTTTGAAAGGTGACCAAGGTATGTTTCCGATTTCCCCAGTTTCTTTGGCTTTGGGTACCTCTTTCAATCTTTTAATTCTTGCCTCTGGGAGGGTGGGGTTATAAATTGGAGCTCACCCATAGCATGCCATGTGTTGGAGCTGTCAATCGTGTATATGTTAACATCAGCATTTTCACGCACTCATTGGCTAAAAGAATTTCCCAGAACGACCTGTGGTGGCTCTTGAAGGACAGATGCTTGAAAAGGCTGAACTTCGAAATATGAACAAGAAAACCCTAGACCTGATAACACATCCAGGAGTTCTCTTGATCTGTACTTCTGATGAAGCGTTGCACCAAGTCCTACGAGCAGTGGGGACAGAAAGGACCGCGGCCTCGCAGCATTAATTATTGCTTGAGCAATAGCACAGTTTTTTTTTTTTGTTCAGGCCGAGCGGAAGGTATTTTTCCCCCACAATACAAGTACCTTAAGGGTTTCTGGAATGTTATTCTCAACGTCCTTCAAAAATTCGTCTTCTTTGGGGTAACTATCAAGGGGATAAATCACTGACCTAATATTCTCGCGAATAATGGCAGCGGCAGCTTTCACTATGCCAAGTCGCTCTTCTTTTTCGTCGACATTCCTGGAGTCATAACAAGACTGAGTTAAAATTTTATAACTTGTATTTCGAAAGCATATTACAGTTGGCTTATTTTTATCCCTTCCGCTAGTAATAATAAGGTCGTCTTCATACTTTGTTTTCAGTTGTTTCATCAGGGATTTATGGGATAGGACAAAGCCTTTGAAGTCTTCCAAAATTTCTGACACAGTGAATTGGCATTGCTCTTCATTTTCCTCGATGTATTTGCGGCCAACTGACAATATAGTTTTTGCATCTTTTTTCAGGAACCTGAAACTGCAGGAACGATGGTACCTGGCCTCTACCGCATCCAGATCATTTTCAAGACGAATTCTTTCAAGTACCTCTTCATCCTGCCACCATTCAGCTTCAGTCAAGAGGGAATTTTTAAACTCAATTGCTGACACATACTGCACGGTAATTCGCCTGTTCGAAGGCTTCTTGCTTTCTTTAGCCACAAATTCCTGTGATGCGTCTTCACCGCATATGACACATCTCTACTTAAAATCAAAAGTCGGGAGCCTCTCTTTACGCCTCTTGGAGTTTTCTCCGTCACATCTTTTCTCCTTTGAATATATTTTCCTGTATCTTTTGTGAATTACAACTGAAACAAGACCTTGAGGTTGAAGGTGCTTCTCATCCTTCCTTGCTATACTACTTTTTGACAATGTTTTTGTTCCTCTTTCTTTTACTGTAGTTGAGGCCTCATCATGTAATGGTTTATCACAAATTAAAAATTTTTGGGTCATTCATGTTTGTAGATGTTGAGCACGCCGTATAATCTCTGAAATAATAGAACACGACATTATAACAGTTTCTTTCAAGTATGATCAACTTTTCACTCGCAACAATCTAAAAGTAAAAAACAGATTTTAAATTGATGCAAAATTTAGTATTTCGACAATCGAAGATTGCTA